TGGTGTTCCTGGACCTATTGCAGGTCCTACCACAAACTTGAATATAGGGATGGACTACTGGAGTGCTACAACCCCATCTCCTATTCCTCAAATACGAGCTAAGGGGGCAGCTGTTGCGCTTGGAGGAGCTATGGTTCCTGGTGGTCCATCAGAACTATGGATGCAGGTTTCTGTTTTAAAATTGTTGATTATTTCAATAAAAAAAATCTCTCTCTTCTTTCTTGTGGCTGTCTCTATAATATAGTACCTTTCTTTTCTCTCAAAAATTTCTATTATATACCTATAACTACTATATGATTTTACGCTTGTGCCCCAGATCTGAAAAGCTGTCCTATATACTTTATGCCAATTTTACACGCTTGTTTTAATGCAGTAATGTTGAAGTGTTGATTCTGTTTCTAGATTTCTGATTTAATAGAACCTTAATTTTTTTGTCAGTGAGCTATATATATTTCCCACTTCTTTCTTAAGTCATGTACCTTCATTTTAATCTTTTTTCCTGCTAGCCGTTTATGTTCCTTGTAAAATACAATAAACTTGAGGTCTTGTTTTAGTTATTCCTGTCTCATCTGTATTACATAATTACTTTATAAAATCTTTAGTCCTTCTCTTTGTCTTTGTGTCCTCTTTTAGGTTTTGAGTCAAATATACAAAGCATCTGATACGAGTCGCCGTGCGAGCACATTTGATCGCGGAATTATCAAAGATGTATTTGAGAAAGAAAATAGCAAAACACAAGAACAATTCGTATATAACGAAGGAAAATACTTTCTCTAGATTATGAAGATCAATTGTTTACAAATCTTTCCTCACAATCTCTCTAGAATAAAGAACAAACCTCTCGATTCTCCAATATCTCGAATTTCTCCCCTAAATTCCAAAACAATAAGGTTTCTATTATATAAACCCTAAAAACCAAAACATGCTAGGATCAGGATTCGGCCCAAAACCTGCTATCGGACGACTGATGCTGGTCATTAATCGACTGATGAATCCTGTCGGTCGACTAATGAACCCGTCAGTCGACTGATCGCGAACGTGCATGACGTGAACAACTTTATCGGTCGATCGATCCTCTTAGTCAGTCGATCGAACAGCTTATCGGTTGACTTATCATGTATCAGTCGACCGAGCATAAACTTTTCCACAATTATGGAGGGTTTCATCGGTCGACTGATGAACCCGTATGTCGACCGATAAGGTGTTTTCTGCCAGCTTCAAAATTACAGTCGCACAAACAAATCCGCGTTCGACAACGATATTTTCCAAGCTTCTATTCTCAAACCACCATGAGAATCATCTATCATCAAGCTCCCATGAGGATCGCTGAGTTTCCGAAACAGAGAAGATACACCTGTATCATGACTCCCCCTTTTACGAACTTAAAGTCCCGTTCAAGTTAGAACTTCAGCTGAGGAAACTCTCGAGCTCCTCCTTTTTTTTTTTGAACCACTTGGCTTTGCTAGGAACCTGGCTTTGACGTCTAACCAAAAACGACTCCTTCGTCCCTCGTCTAGTTGTAGTCACATTTTGCTCCAAAATGTAATCCTCTTTCAATGGCTCATCTCTATCAAACCATAAGTCTTCAACATGTGGCAATATCACTTTGTCGTCACCCTCATCGTCCATCAATGGAGGCTCGAACAACTTCAAGTACTCGGCATTGATCACCGAATACATGGCTAAGTAAGGTGACAAATCCAGCTTGAAGGCGTTGTTACCGATCTGATCGGGAATCTAAAATGGATCATATCGTATAGGCTTCAACTTCTTTCCTTCTCCCTTTAGTCGTTCCTTACCTAACTTCAGTCACACCATATCACCTTTGCCGAAATTACAAGGAACTCGATGTTGATAATGTTTCACCTTGTACTTTGCTTATGACTTCTTCAACTGTGCTTTAACGGCGACGTGAATTTGCGCAATCTTATCCAGAAATCGCTGAGCCTTCTGTCTTTCGCTTCCTTATTTTCCGTCGGCTGTAGCTTCACTAGAGAATACAAGATCGAACGGACTTGGAGGTAAGAACCCGTAACAAGTCTCAAACGGT